TATATTTTATGTTTTATGAGACCTTAGAATTCTTATAAGTAACAAAAAGACCCCTTCCTGGATCTTGAAACAGCTCCACTGCTGTCCAGTCAAAGCAAAATGCCACACATTCCCAAGCTACATCAACCTTTCTTCACGATGTTCAGGCTGGTTCAAAAAATGGCAGCCGGGAAACCAAGCTCTCAATTCTCCTAAACAGTCCTGTGGCTGACACAGGATAGGGAGAGGAAAGAGCATTCATCCTGCCCCTCTACAAAATGCTTGAGAGTTTGCACTTGTCAATTAACAAATCATTTTTTAAAAGCAAGCAGTCCCCAATTTTTGGAAACGCATGGATGGTGGCAAAATGCCAACCAGAATGGGCAATCTGTTTCAAAGATGCTCCATGACAAATGATGACAGGACTGTGCTTTACAAAGGTCGAGCCCTAAATACTGAATACTAGTAATTAAACTGTCCGTAAACGCTGTGTGAACATCAGTTTACAAAGCAGGATACTAGAGTAGTACAGAACACACATACTGCCCTCCAGTGCCACGGGAATTTTACTTCCACTCTCAGCCAGCTGCTTCCTTGCAGATTGCCCTGCAACAAAAATTAAGATTGCCGTTTCTAAATATTATTAAAGTTAATTGCTGTTTGCTTGAACTTGGCAGGTCAAAACTGGCACTTTCATAACTGTCACCAGTGTCCCCCAACTGCCTAATGACCACATCAGAGATAAATACAAGCCTCACATTTTTAATGTGTGAACCTGGGGGGGGGGACACACATTCTACTATGCTAGAAGGGATGCGGGTGTCACTGTGGGTTAAACCGCAGAGCCTAGGGCTTGCTGATCAGAAGGTCAGCAGTTCGAATCCCTGCGACGGGTGAGCTCCCGTTGCTCAGTCCCTGCTCCTGCCCACCTAGCAGTTCGAAAGCACGTCAAAGTGCAAGTAGATAAATAGGTACCACTCCAGCAGGAAGGTAAATGGCGTTTCCATGCGCTGCTCTGGTTTCGCCAGAAGCAGCTTTGTCATGCTGGCAACATGACCCGGAAGCTGTACGCCGGCTCCCTTGGCCAATAAAGTGAGATGAGCACCACAACCCCAGAGTCGGCCACGACTGGGACCTAATGGTCAGGGGTCCCTTTACCTTTGACTATGCTAGAACTTATTCCCAAATTCACATCGCTCAGGATGTTGGTTGGGAGGAATGATATCACTGAAAACCAGGGCTTTTTCTTTCTTCAGCTGGAACTCACAGGAACTTGGTTCCAGCGTCTCTCAGGGGTGCTCCTTTGCCATCGTAAGAGAACAAGGGAAACGTTCGCGGTGAGTTCCAGCACCTCTTTTTTCTAGAAAAACACCACTGCCGCAAACATGCCCAAATTTTCTGTTCTTGTTCAGATTCCTCCTGGCTTGCAGCCCCACTGGGCTCCAGCACATTAGGCAGCAGAAAGAGAACATCGCTTGCACCCATGAATGCCAACTCTTTCCCGACAGCCTCATTCCTCATACGCTTTTCATAAAACAAACACTTTGGTCACGGTAGAGGTCTGCCTTAGCAGAAAATGATGGCCCATCCACGGGCAGAAAGCCCTCTTACAGACCTTTCCCCATCGAAAGAAGCCTGAGTGTGGGTTATAAGGTTATTCTCATTATTACTTTTATATTATATTTTATATCTGTTTATGGCCTGCCTTTTTCACTGACAATGATTCAAGATGGCTGGCTTACAGATAAAATAGGAACAGATAAAAGCACTGGGTGGGTGGGGAGTATTTCTCTCGTGGAAGTAAATAGGTTTTGTATGTTACGTAACATACAAAAGTCCACCCTACTGGTTCCACCGTGTGGTTGACACAACAAATAAGGTGAGGCAGATCATGTGGTTATTTCTCACTGGATTGTTGCCATTCTTCCCAGAAAGGCAACATGTGGGAAGGAAAGACCCACATGACTTTCCATGTGGTTGTTTCACGCACACAAACGCCCAATTAACATGGATGCAGCTCCCATGGCAACGCACAAAATTATGAACAGGACCAAGTTCTGGCCATCCCCAGTTCTGTGGTAAAGCTACAAATTTCAGGGGTAAGAAACTTTTCTGGATGTGACTAAAGCAATAAGTTAAAAATAACTGATAAATAGGAGCCAATGAAGATACATTTTTCATTGGTGAGGCTGCAAGTTGAGGTCCCATAAACTGATTATGCTAGAATTTCTTGCTTAGTTCACAACTTCCTGGTGCAGAAACAGACTCTTCAAGTGTCCCTGTTTCCCAGGGATATCCCTGATTTAGAGATTTAGGTTTCTGATTTGATCCCAGAATGTCCCTACAGTGGTGCCTAGCAAGACGAAATTAATTCGTTGCCGCGAGTTTTGTCGTCTTACGATTTTTTTTGTCTTGCAAGCACGGTGTCGGGAAAGTTTTGGAAAAGCTTCA